ACCTGCCGACGCTGCTGCCGCCGACCCAAAAGGCTGCAGGGCACGGTCTGGGAGATGCTGCGAGGCCTCCTAAGACTTTAATACAGGACTGTCTAATTGCCCACACAGCTGCGGAACAAATAATTCATCACATGTTTTCAATATCAAATGCAACATTAATGTTTTCGACTCAGACCCGTTTGCGCTTTTCCTTTAATTGCTTGCTCAGGTGCAGTGGACTAGGAGTGAGGAGCATCTCTGGGCTCATCCACGCACCGTGAGGAAGTGTTTTTTCCACTGCCATAACACGAAGAAGTGCAGACATGTTGTTCTTTGTCCTCTTTTCCCCCCAATAAATACAGAAATATAACAACAAAGATGTACCATAAAGAAACTATGAGTCCACGAGCAGAGAGGAGGACTTCTGGCCTGCTTGCTTACCTCGAACAGTGACCCTGCCTGATATCCACCAGGCAGAACTGGTGCCCAGGTGGAGTTACCGACGCTGCTTTCTACTGCGCTGCTGGCTGCTTCCCAAGGGCAGGCTCCCGCCCTGTGCTCCGCCTCTTCCCATGCCTCCTCGCCACGCGTGTCCCTGAGGCTACGGCACAGCAGTACGGAGGGGTTACTGTGAATTTTCTGAGTTACTACAATTGTTTTCCCTAAAAAATAACATAACATAACATAATATAATATAATATAAAATCTGAAAATTTAAACTCTTACAAGAGAGATGGATACATTTTTTTTGGCACCTGATAGGATGGCCAAAGTTCAGATTTTTGTCTGTGTACCCTTTACAGATTCTGGTGACCAACAATAAATACAAAATTTTAATGTCAGTATGACACTGACGCCCAATGAAGTAACTTCTCCATGTGGAGATGGTGCGTGACATTAGCTTGCATGCCAAAATATAAGGCAAGAAAGAAGTGTTTAAGTGAGAAAGTGCATATATGGCCTGATAAATGCAAACTGCATTAAGAGTTATGAATACAAAATAAATTCTTTAACTAGGTCTTTAAACTTATTTGCTACATGAAAGGCCCTTTTAAACCAGTCTCCTTTTATGACTTTAACCATTTTAAATTAAAAATGCTGTTTACATCTTTGAATGCCTTGCTTCAAACTGTACATCTCATTATTCCTCCTGATTTGGGTATTTTGTTACAGCATTTGAACTACCAGTTCTGTGTATTTACTGTAGAGTTCCCTGTAGGACAGCCATGGGCTGATGGGTGCTGCTTGCCCGTTCATGCCAATCGAAATAGGACCAAAATAGGATGGTACGGTGTGGCGTGAGATCGAATCAGCTACTGCAATTGGGAAATCTGGTGTCAGAGGGGAAAACTGGAAGGGACGTACGCTGTCACCTGCTCACCCCTTTCTTGCTGCAGCAGCTCAGGGATCCCTGTTGTTTCAAGGTTGGTTTCATAGATAGCTTCTTTGCAACCATTTACTTAAAGAGTAGATAGATATGGTCAAGCGGAAAAAAGGTAACTTGGTTTACTTCTCTACAGTAGCATGGAAATAACTATGGGGACGACGTGTCTAAAGCTACAGGGCATCATAAAATGGAAGGACCTTGTATATACCACCACAGAGGACATCTATAGGAAGAACACTACAAAATGGTAAGAAAAACTGGGAAGGTCAAAAAACGATAGCAATCCTTCCCTCTGTGCTGATGACCAAGCCTGAGCCCTTTCTGAGCACCACACCAGACGTGGGACCGGAGGGCTCAGCATTGTGAGCCGTCACTGTTCAGACTGAAGGAGCAGATGGAGGCTCATCCAAAGTGCCTGCCTCAGAATGTCACCGTCGGTGAGATTTCTGCTCCTGGGTCATTTAAATACTCCTGAAAAATCCCATCCTCTCCCATGAGCTCCAAGATAGCAGCACATCTCTCCATGTGATGCAGCCCCTGGACTCCTAGCATCCAACTGCTTACTGCCCACAAGGTCTGCGACCACCACACAGATATTTTCTGGGTATCTGTTTGGCCCTATGCTGCTGATTTTTTTTTTCCTATCGGTTTAAAAGTGCATATTAAAAACTCACTTCAAAATTTCAAAAAAGTTTATTCAATGATCAAATTATGTTTTGCTGAGGCACCTCAGCATAGCTCCACCACTCACTCCTCCCTGCCCCAGAGCAGCCAAGCACCCTCCCTGCATGGCTTCTAGATCGAAATACTCATGGAGAAGTCAGAACAATGAGACAACCTCACCAATTAGTTTCTTTATCTGCTAATCCCTGGCAAAACAATTAGTAAGATGCCCGAGTTACCAGAACAGAGCCGTCGAGTCTCCCATAATTTGATTCTGTGCAGCATCAGCAATGTCGGCTCTAAGCATCTTCCAGCACAACTTAAGATAATCCAACTGACTTTCCAGAGAAAAGGAGTAAAGATACTGATGCTGTGAGCACAGCTCTGCTGCTGGATATAACCATCACCCGAGGAGCAGCGCGGGACAGCTGAGGAGCCTTAAACTGCTCCAGCCCCTTTTGCAGAGGAGTGTCTGGCTGCACCCTTGTACATCCCAGCTGCCCTTTGTTGTGGTCACCAAAATCCCCATGGCATTACGAGGGTTTAGCTCACCAGCGGCTGCAGTGGAGACATGCTGACACTAGAATTTCGGGTGGTGCTTTGGAAATGGGGCTGTTTTCATGGAGATGCTCACGGGACGTAAGGAAAGGCAACGAGGATGTAATTTTTCACAGGTTGTGCGGGCTTGGCGTGAGCAAAGCCCATAAAACAACTGGGAAAGGGAGACGAGCACAGAACATGGTGTGATGAGCTGCTACACTTGCAAGTGCTTCTGTGCTCCTTAAAAATTAAAATGCTGGTTTTACAAAAGGAAGAAGGCACTCTAGCATGCATTTTGGGTGTGCAGAGGCACGAAGCCCAATTTCCCCACAACTGTCCAGAACCAAAGGGCATCAAAATCGCAGAATGCTCTGCTTAAACCCTGAGCTGAGAGGTGCTGGTAGATGCACTTGGCATTGCTGAGCAGCGAACGGACTCTGTAAAGGTGGGTGCATCTCTCGCGATGGTTCCCAAGCCTTTCCTCCTCACGCTGCCTTACTCCCTAGACTTGTTCTTCTACTTTCTGGTTGAAGCTCCGAGCGATTAAAATCATGATAGATCAATTTAAACTTAAAAGAGGTCTGATTTTTAGAGGGCAGATACTTATGCCACTCAGTGCGACGAAGAAAATAGGCCCCTTTGTGCGTCTCAAGACATTCAAAACATGTCATTCAAAACAACTGAGTCACGATTTAAAATGCAGGCCTATAATCTTCCCCCCCACGTTACCACACCTTGAGCTATGTCAGAAATTTAATTTCAATCTCACAAACACCCATGGTGGACCAGAACGTGCCATTTCTGAGGCTAGTTCAAAGGCATCTCTGCACGAACACCGGCTGAAAGTCATTTCTGTGGCATGTAAATTCAGTGGGCAAGGCAAGTAATTTTGACAGTCCCTCTTCAGTTGTCCTAGGCAGGTTCTGCCTATACCGACAATGTATATCTCTGTAGAAAAATCTAGAACTGAAGTCATTTGACCCCTTCAATTGCCCTTGTCCTTCACAGGTGATTTCTGAAGATTTTTGCAGACTGATGAAAAAAGGCAGAGAAATGTCCATTTTTTCTTTCTGCTCCAAGATAAATAGAAGATTCCCCCCCCAAATGAGATGGATTCAGGATGCTGAATCCATCATATCTGGAATTAAAAATCCCACTTCAGTTGGGATTCCCTTTGTGAGTACTTTATAGGAAGCTCTCACGCTTCTCAGGGAAGCGTGTCGGCGGCTATCGAACACTCTCGGGACACAGATCCCCCCAAAATGCCCCACAGCACAATCGTTTTAACCATCTTCAGAGTCTTGGCACTGAGGGGGAGTGAGGTTCTGCATCCTCAATCTCGGTTCAAGCTCGAGGGTTCCTCTTTTGCCTTCGCCGCCGCCGCTGACCCATCTCCGTCTGAGAGGAAGCTGGTGTCTGTGGGGATGTGCAGTCTTGGGCTACGCAGACGTTATGTATCAAAAGTGGCCCTCCCCAGCACGTACCCAGCACCCTCCCGCTTTGATTTGGTCCTTCATGGGCACGATGGATTTATTTTCACCTCTTTGGTGTAGCAGCCCTACTCGCAACGGTGAAAGGGCAGAGGTGGGTAACTTCAAAAGCAGCAATACAGTTCTACCAACTAAAAAGAACGTCATTTTTTTTCTTTCTTAACGTAAATCAACCCCCGTGCATGTCTACGGGCCCTTCCCCGCCATCACCACCCCGACACCAGACCATCAGGGCGTTCTTTCTGCGGCACGGTACTTACAGCTACTTTTACGCGTGCCCGCTCCGCGATGGCTCGGTGTGAAAAGAGGGCTTTTGTGCTTCCCTCTTGCCGACACGCATTTAGCATCACCCCGCGCTGTATCTGCGCGGAGGGGGGGGAGCGCAAGCACCGCGACCCCCGCGCACCGGCGTGGGGTCCCCCCCGGCCGCTGCCAGACCCCCTTCCCCGAGGTTGGGGGGGGACACACACGGGACACAGAGCCGCGCCCG